TTAGCTATAAATGTCTCTAATGTCTCATTTTTTATGGTTGAGTAGTACTCCATTTTATAAAAAAACCCCACATTTTCTTTATCCAGTCTCCAGCTGATGGGTGAAATTGGCTTTTATAATAATTTAAAATGAAGCGTGGAGCACCTAGTTCACAAAATGCAGTGAGATAGCTCTTAGTTGGGCTTAAGACTTTGAGCTATGCTTTAAATTTCCTCACAGAATATTAGTTAGCCTTGATGCTGAATTGTCTCCACCCAATACATATGCTCATTAAAAAAAGTGGTGGGGGGCCGGGGATTTAGCTTAGTGGTTCCGCCGCCTGCCTCGCAAGCATAAGGACCTGAGTTTGATTCCCCATACCAAAAAAAAAAAAGTGATGGCAAATTATTCACATAATAGGTTCATAACATTTATATTGTCTGATCCTATCAAATGCCCCGCTGAGACAATTTAACATGAATTGATTTCTTTTCCCCCATCCATTCCTTCATTTTTAAAAAATTAATTAATTTTATTGGTACGATTTAAATATACATAATGATCACATTCATCAAAGGGGGTTTGTACCTGTACATGATATAGCTCTATTCCTCTGTTTCTCCATTCCCCTTTCCTCCCTTCAACCTCCCCTCTCCCCTTATTTACAAAAGCTCTGATTACATTTTTTCCTTCTTTAATCGACCCCCTCCCTTCACAGTTTCCCTTTCCTTTTGAACAGTTTCTTCCTTTTTCATATTATCTCTTATACATTTTGGGTCTCATCCTTTCAGTTTACATGCATTCTAGGTTCACTCTTTTATTATTTCAAATGAGTAGAAAAATATACACTCAGGCTTCACTGTTTGAACCTCTCAAATAAATATTTTCATTAAATTATATTCTCTTTGGTCAACATTAGGAACTCAGAGATGAACAATATTTTGCATTTCTATTTCACAGCCAATGGCAGTCCTGTCCATTCTATGTTACCAAATGGTCCTTAGGTAGCAGAATTCTGCTTTGGGGTTAGCAGCTGTGTGAACATAAGGAAGTCAATCTTTCTGGGCCTCAGTTTATCATCCACAAAGGAGGCTTTTTGGTGAGGATTAGCAGCAGATATGTAAGTTAATTGGCCCTGTGACTAAAATACAACTATTCTGTATGAAATTTATAAAGATAAATAATAATACTTATTTCATTATAAACTTCATACTTAAAACCTTACAAAATTAAGTTCAGGAATGACCTAGGAAATTACTACAACGGAATCAGACCTTCAGAGCTGTAATATATTTTGGTTAAATGCTCAGTAGCTAAAAAGTACAGAAAAAATTCAACAACTTACCTTTCCATTTCTTGTAGAATGGTTTTGATGTCTTTTCCTAACTTAAACTTTTTCCCAAATGGAATGTCAGAAATAATAATATCAATACTTTCTGAAGGCAGTGGCAATTCTGAAATAGAGAAATCAGAGAATCCTATTAAAGTCAAATATTTACCACCTAAATAAGGAGAAAACTGAGGTATATGGGATTATCTTTGCATATTAAATAAAATTTAGAGTTGCTCATATTATTTCTATGAAATTATAAGATCTGAAATGCTTTCAGAATCACTAAAGATAAACGGTACAATCATTATATTCTGTCCTTTGAAAAATGGTTTTTCAAGTATGATAAAATATGACATAAGTGAACAAAATTTTAAATTAACCAGAAAACTCAGTTCTCTAAACAAATTACACGTATAGAGTTGTCAGATCCAGGAAGAAATACATTGTGTAGAAACACTTTTTACAAAATTATATTCTGAAATTTTCGTATAATTATATATAAAATTTTGCACGTTAGACCAATTTGCTTTTAAGGGAGAAGATTCAAAGGTACCCTTGCATTTTTAAAGGGAACTCAAAAGGTGAAGAATGTCTAGATAAGTCTTAAGACTACACAGTCAATGATTAACACAATGAATATCATCACTATACAAAATTAAATGATTATTAAATGTAAATTTTCTTAATATTTTCTTCTCAGAAAATACCATAGAGTAAAACACTCACATTTTCTAAGTGTGCTTTCTACTTCCTACTTCTTTTACTTCCCACCCATCATCTAAATCATGTTAGATATTCAAAAGGAAGATGTCTCAGTCTTCTTGAGACAGGATCTCACTGTTTACTCCAGGCTGGCTTCAAACTTGGACTTGTCCTGCCTCTGCCTCCTGAGTACTGGGGATTATAGGCATGAGCCACCATGCCTCACTCAGTTTTCATCTTGAGTAGTATCTAATTTGTAAAATGCAACAAAATCTGAATGATCTTTGTAAAACACCATACAAAATTTGTTGGCAGGAAATTTAAAAACAACAAAAAAATCCTGGGGAAGTCTAAAGACCAGTTGCTACCTCTTTCCTAGTTTTAATCCTTATGTGAGATTAGCAGAAGAGTACACTGTTAGAAAAAGTAACAGGATAATATTCTTTAAAACCTAGGCAGAAATTATTTTTTATTATTATCATGTTTTTGGTTTATTTTACAGTGCTGGGGATTGAACTCAGGGCCTCATGCTGCTGGGCAAGTGCTCTACCACTGAGCTACAGCCCACCCAACTTACGTTTCAACTTCATGCACTTGGCTTTAGGATGCTAAGGCAGGACGCAACCATTTAAGCTCAATGTCTATACTTTTTGCAAAATGACTAAGGACAATAAATAGACAATGAAGGAATCAAGTGTTTTTTATGTCAGGAACCACATAATAACTTACTTGACTTTTGTCTAATCCCAAATCTTTCTTTTGCCTTATACCACACACACAAAATCCCTACGCATGAAGTAGGTGCCCAATTTGTCCAGATGCGGAAATGTGTTTTTGTTATCCATTTTCACCTGCAACTTTGTGGTACAATTTTCAATCCTGCTTTATAATTTTAGAAGTTGGAATAAAATTCACACAGGTAGAAAAGACTATTTTTTTTTTTTTAAAGTTCCAAACGAAGCAGTGTCATTTTCCAAGCGAGTGTGAAATAAACTTCTGGTGAATTGGTGTGGAGCACACAGGAGGCAGAGTCTGACAGCTGTGTGTGGCCTGGTCACTGCCGCCTGTGGGAGTGAATGGGTGCACCCACTTCAGAGGGTAGCAGATGGAACAACACACGGAAGCTTGTGGAGCAGGGCCTGCCTGGCACACAGTGAGTGAGCACTTGACTGTCAGCTCCTTTGTGGTCATAATTTACAAGGTCATCTAAGACATCTAGAGAGAAGATAGATGGAAACCCAGTGGACCAGAGCCCTTTAAAGAGCTCTGCAGAACCCAGTATTTTCTTTCCATTCCTGCTAGGACCTTGAAGCGCTAGGCAGGACAACTACTTCCAGGCATGCTGCTTTTTCAGTCCCCTTTCCTGCAGCCATGGTTCTCAAGGTGTGGGCCCCAGGCCTGCACACAGGAGCAGTATCACCCAGGAACTAGGAATAAGCGGATATGAGAAGCAATCAGAAACTTCTACAAAATACAGGTTGCTGGCCTCACTTCCAGTTTTTGATGCAGAAGCACCTAAAATTGTGATCACTTGACCCGTAAGAATCAACATATAGTAAAACCTTTCAAATTATTAATTGCTTTGAATTGCCTGCAAATGGTTTGCTTGTAACTAAGGAGATAAGATTCTAAAATAGAAGCAGCTCCAAACAAACAAGTAAAAACCATTCATTTTTTACATCTTCGCAGTCCTCTAAAAATTTATTTTTAAATTAAAAAAATTTCATTTAAAAATACTGGCTGTTTTGAGTAAAATAACTACCCTATTTTTCCTGTCTTCTAGTAGAAAAACGGGTAAAAATTGTTTAAAATTCAGATTTATGGGCCCAGGATTTCTTCCCACAGATTTGAAGGGCTTTGAAGATATTCTGTTGTGCAAATATTTAAAACCAGATTAAGTTGAAGACTTTCTAATTTTCTTTTTGGTACAGGGTCTTTCTATGTAGTCCAGGCCAGCCTTGAACCTGGTATGTAGCTAGGCTTGTGATCCTTCTGCCTCTGCCTCCCGAGTGCATATTCGCCATGCCCAGCTTTAACTGAGGGACTGAGGACTTAACAGAATTGGGCATACCTTCTTCCTATTTTCTTTCCTTACACTTTCTGTTTGTTATTCTTTCCAGTGTCCAGGTTTCCAATACTCACATCCTGTCATGTAACAGTAATTCCAATAGTTGTTTAAAATTAATTGTATATTTAATTCAATCCTAATCACCAATCATTTTGCCTTGACTTTCCTTGTTCCTCAGTTGGCTCATCTCTTAAATGTCTGGATTTCATTAGAAATTTTACTCCCTTCAATGAGCTTATTAGTAAACTGTTACATGAACTTTTTCATATTTAAAATATTTGTACAAAAATGACATTTTTGGTTGGATGTAATATTTCTGTGTCACACACAGCTTCAATAACCATAAATACAATCTCAAACATTGTAAGTAAACACTGTTCTACTGGCTATGGCTCTACAACTCTCTTTCCATTGTGGACAAAATAAAATTTAAAAATTATTTCATTAATTATCTTTCCCTTAGTTGCTGCTAGTAGATTTTTTTCTTTTTTCTCATTTAAATAAGCAGAGGGGTGGGCAAATATTTTATCGAAATTTTCACCTGCCATTTTAACCCAGAAGTCTGTAATAGTCTTAAACATACAAAATGTAGTTTGCCATCTGGATTGGGTCACCATATAATTTATAGTCCAATCAAAAACACTGCTGAGAATGAGAATGCTAGAAATAAAATTATATAGTTTTGAAATACTTATCCTATAAACTGGCTTATTATGGTGGGCCTAAAAATTACATCTTTTTTCTCCTGCCCTTTTTTTTTCCTTTTCATTTTTCTGAGCATTTTATTACAAGGCATCAGTGGTGCTTTATTTTTTCTTTTCAACATCTTGTTCTGCAGCTTTTTTGGCCAGTGAAGCAGGCATTGCCACAGGCCATGAGAAGCCTAGCAAACATCCTAAGTTCTCCTCCTTCTCTTTGGTGATGATTCTGGCTTTCCCCTCCTTTAGACTTTCTGGGTGGGCATACCTGGTTGCGGTAGCTGTGCAGCCAATCTGAGTCCTCAGTAGACCTTGGGGGCAGAGGATGCTCAGATCTATACTCTTTCCTTTTGAGCTGCACACAGGTTTGCTCCACCTGCTACTCCACAGACACATCCATGGTCTGGGTCCCTTCCTGTGCGCGCTAGCCAGCTGCCCATCAACTCTTGCAAGCTGAAGTGCCGGGCACCTCATTATGGGGCACTTCACAGGGGCCGGAAGGGTCTGGGTGCAGGGCAAGGGGGATGTGTCATGGTTTTTCTTGGCAGACCTTGTGGCTATGGATCTCCAGGCCCTTGGTGAAGCCCTGCGAGTCCTGGAAGAAGTGGAGGCTTGGGATCATGCATCCCAGGTGGGTAGTGTAGCTGCCCATAGCCCTGCACAGAAGGGCTATGGGTATTTTTACTTAAACCAAACTTTTAAAAATATTTTAACATTAAAAGTAATAAGCAAAATAATTATCTGTGGTATGGATTCATATACTGACAAGCTTCTTGGATATATTAGTCTCTACTCCCATGTCATTACTGGTATTTTTACGAAGAACAGAATATTTTTAAAAATAAAGACTTTACAAACTTTTTATAAAACTGATCTTCAAAGTTTCATTTTCATGCCTTAAAGAGTTCTTTTAAGTATATATATTTTTGAGAAAATACTTTTCCTACAGAGGTGAGAGTAACTACAGAATGCAGCAAATTCTGCTAAGAGAAGACACTCTTAATTCTTCTCAATTCTATTTCTTTCATTTGGAAATTGTAAATGTTTTAGCTCTCTAGTTTATAGCTTTTCCAGTGTCTTTAAAAACAATTCTTTTTTATGGAACCAGGGATTGAACTCAGGACCTTGCACTTGTCAGGCAGGTGTGGTGCCACTGAGCTACATCCCGGCCCCTCCAGAGTGACTCTGACAAATATCTTCACAACATAAAATGGAAATAAGCTTCCTCTACTGTTTTATTTTATCAAATTTAGACGCTGAAAAATTAAGGCCTTCTCAATTTCATTCCATTCTAGAATACACATGTCCAATTAAAATGAAGAACATCATCAGAAGATCTGTCATAAGATATCCAAGTGTACTACAAAATTTCAGAATTAAATCTTATGCATTATTGAGCTCACTGTAGTTTGTTATATCTTCCTTGGTGTTTATAAGGATTTCAATGTCTTCCTATTGTCAACTTGGTTTTTAATAACTGCAATTCACCAAAAAAAATTCAAAAGCTAATTTTTGGCATTCCATTTGTTGAATCCTTTGATTACAGATATACAATGAATTTGGAACAAAATGCAACCAAAATTAGGCAAAATGACTATTTTTTAAAAAGTGTGTAGCACTATGGTAGGTCTTTTTGTAAAGTTCTTCAAAGAC